TCAAGGTATCTCGGAGGTTGCCAGGGTCGGGTGATGAGACCAGAGATCCACCCATGCACAGAGTGTAACCCAGCAGAACCTTGGGAAAGAGGAGAGAAGGTGCCAGTAGGGACAAGACAGGGACTCTTGGATAGTCCCTGGAGACAGTTGTCATCCCATATTGAATCCCAAACATGCGACAGTAACCAGATAAGAACTGGAAAGATCCAGACAGCTTTTGCAAAGTAGGGCTTAGGGCAGGCCCTGGGGGACAGCTGAAGCCAGAATGCACAGAGGGGCTGGACCAGGCAGTGGCCAGTCCTGCTGGGGCTGGAAGTTCACAGCCGGCTTTAGCAGAGTCGAGATCTGCTGGCTACACACAGTCCCCATCTTAAGAAGGTTCGGTTTACGTGATTCCGCTTTACCATGGAGCAAAAGCTCTGCTCCTGCCACAGAAACCAGACTTCAGTCTCAGGCTCTTCCCTGGGCAGAGGAGTATGTGGTATGACAGCTCTGGTAGTGTTGCCAAGGGAGGAAAGCCGTAGCTCCGAGGCAGCGGGAGGCCAGGGAGGAGGAGGCGGATGTTAAGGACATAAAGTGCGTTTTGTTCAGTATTTTTCACTTACCCTTTGGCTCAGGAGGGTCTCTATAAGGCCTGCAGGCTCTGCTCAGTGCTAATCTAATGTAGGGAAACTAACCGTGGAGCCTGTGGGGAAGGTCTAGGTCTTTGAGGGTTTACGGTTTGGAATGTGAAATGTCTCCCACAGACTCCGGTGTTTGAACTCTTGGTTCCCCCAGCTGGTGGCACTGTTTTGGAAGGCTGTGGACTCTTTGGGAAGTGTGGCCTCTTGGAGGAAGTAGTTTGCTGGGGGTGGGCCTTGGGGCTTTATAAGCTCTAGTTTCACTTCCTGTCTGCACACTAATTCCTGACGCCAGAGGCTGCTGTGGCTCCTGGCACCTCGCTCCCTCCCCATTGTGATGGGTTATATCCCATCTAAAGCTGGGACCCCAAAGCAACCAACTCTTCCTACTTTAGTTGTCTCTGTCAGGTTTTTTTTTTTATTTTTTATTTTATTTATTTTTGTCCCAGCTATGTGAGAAGTCAGTGACAAAGGAGTGTTTCCCTAAACTGGATTATTTGACACCAATCTCTTCCTCTCTTTTTCACTTCTGGCTCCTCTGTAATGTGTTCCCACCATATCCTTCCTCACTGCAGTCTGGAAAGCAACTGGTCATAGACCAAAACCTCCAACACCGAAAGCCCAGACAAATCGTTCCTCCTTCTAAATTGATTTTTTGGTGATAGTGTACAGTTACAGATATTCTGTTACATAACAGAATGCTAACATAGTGTCGCAGGGGACCTGAGCTGCAGTACGGATTGTACCTGGTTGAGATGCTTCTGGGATTCGTGCATCCAGCACTGTGCTGGGATCCAAACCTGGCGTCAGTCACTCTGTCCCTGCAAAGGACCGCAGGAGGGAAGCAGCGCTGTTATCTTCGGTAGGAAACTGAGGCATCCTGTATCAAGTCTGAGCCTTCACGGGGAGTCGGTGGTAAGCTAGGGTGTAGAGCCAGACGCCGCAGCACCAAGAGCGCTTCAAGCAAGTGAGAAGGAACCGGCTGCATGCGGAATTAGATTATGGGAGCATCAGGGAAATCACTCCCCTGCTTCTATTTCCTGTGTCATCTGTCTTCCCACCGCGGAGCGAGCGAGCTAAAACTGCAGCCAGGTCATGTCTGCACCATTTGAAACTCCTCAAGGTCTCTCTCCTGCCCCAAGGACAGAGCCCAAACTCCTAGCTGGTTCTCAGAGTCCTATATCCCTGGTCCCTGCCCACTTCTCCAGCCCTGTCTCCTTGGCTCTGGCCACACTGGACTCTCCTTGTGCTCTCTTCATTACATTGCCTTCAAACCCAAACAGACTTTCTGTTCACCCTTCCAGGCACAGACCATCGATGAAAGGGAGCCTGGGGATTGGGCGTGGTTGAGAGCTGAGCCAGCTGTTCCTCTGACCCTTAGGGCTGGAACTGACAGAAACACAACTCCAGAGGACAGTTTGAGTAGTGAAAAAAATCCAGGGGTGTTTGAGGAGGTTTTGCTGAGCTAGATGCTCAAGCAAAGGCACTGGGATTCTGTTTTGGATTCCTGTATCAGCCACAGTTCTCCCAAGGAACACACACACATGAGTGAAATACACACGTTACAGTAATATACTTATATGTATGGGGAACTTTTAAATGCTTTTTGTGTTGCTTTTTAATGTTTTACGTGTATGGGAGTTTTGCCTGTCTGTGCACCACAGGCATGCAGGACCTACGGAGGCCAGAAGAGGGTGCCAGATCCCCTGGAACTGGAGTTATAGATGGTTGTAAGCCTCTATGCCAGTTCTGGGGGCAATCATGCCTAGGTCTTCTGTAAGAGCAGCCTGTGCTCTTGACAGCCAAGCCCTCTCAACAGCCCCTGCTCTGTTGACCTTAAGGAATAAGCTCACACAGTGTGGCCTCAAACAAGCCCAAGGTCTTTGAGGAAGCCCAGCATGATGGGGGTCACAGTCAGCGCAAGTGCAGACTGGTCATCAGCAGGATGCCCTCTTCCTTGGAAAACTGGCATTTTTAAGTGTGTGGTCAGGGGTGAGAGGCATGCACATGTGTATGCAGGGGCACACATGGCCTTTTACATAAGTGCTGGGAGTTTAAACTTGGGCCACTGAGATCAGGGGTTTTTTTTGTTTGTTTTTTTGTTTTTGTTTTTTTGTTTTGTTTTGTTTTGTTTTTGTTGTTGTTGTTTTTCCTATTAAGACTGTGAACTGATTAAGCAGGGTAAGGGCAACTTACATTGTGGACATTGAGGCAATCACTCAGAGTCCGTGGATGTAAATCTTAATCCCATCTCAAACATACCTTCAGAGATAAGCATCTAGATGTGTTTGCCCGTCTGGGTGTCGTGGCCTGCTGAGCTGACACAGAAAATCAACCACCACACCATATCTTGGCTCTGCCCCACTCTAGTCAGCCTCATTCTCAAATGAGAACTGCTGGTTCTGAACCTCTGTCCTTGCAGTTCAGCATACAGCAGGGCCCGATGGCCCCGACCTGGGTTACGGGGCAGAGGTCAGCACTGCTCCACTGTGGACCCCATAAAGAGGAAGGGTCTATTCAGAAGTAAATCAGGGAGGGAAGTGGCCCTGAGCTGCTGCCGAGGGCATCTCCCCATGTCCCTCAGCCTTGAGGAGCCTTCTTCTCAGTGTGTATGTGCAGCTTCTAGGTGACCCGGCCAGTGCTTGGGATGAGATGTGAGAAAACAAGAATGGATCCTCAAACGCCCTGAGAAGTGAGACTTGAAGTGTCACCGTAGCCACATTTCTTCACCACTTTCTTGGGGTTTTTAGTCATAGGAGAGATTGGTACCGCGTCATAGGGTTGGGAGTGTGAGAAGAATCAGAGCTGACGCTCTTGCCTCATCAAGTGATGTTCTCGAGAACCTGGGATACAGGCCATAGAAGTTGGCTAGGCCCACCTCCCCGGAGGACGGAGCCTCCTAGAGGAGGGCAAAGGGCAGCCCTACTCTGCTCGGTGCCCTCACCTGCACCTGCATCAGCTGAGGGACCCCTTCCCTCTCCATGTGCAGTTCAGTGTAAAGCCTTGTGAACGCAGACACACTCACACACACTGACACAACTCACTCATACATACACACACTCACTCATACACACACACACACACACACACCTTTTCTTTCTCTAGCAGGGTTGCCACTGGCTGTGTGTGTATGCTTGCACTCATGCCCACGTGTGGATGCCTGGTTTAAGATGTTCGTCTTTATCCATTTTATCCTGAGCTCGTAGAGCCTTTGGCAACCACCGTCCTCTCTGTCCTCTCTCTGCCTGCTGGAGAAACCCGTCTAGTGGACTTCTAAGGCATTTGCCCCTTCGTGATTTGTGTATTTTGCTAATTGTAATTCCTCAAGGAGAAGGGAAATGAAAACGAGAGGAAAGGATAACGGAGAGAAGAGAGGAAGCCTGTGTCGGCGCACACCTGTAAGCGCAGCACTCCGGAGGCAGAGGCTGGAGGAGTGCTCAAGGGCATCCTCAGCAAGTTCAAGGCATGTGGCCAGCCTGAGCTACCCCTGCGTTAGGACAAAAACCACAAGCGACAGAGGGATGAATATGATCAAAGTGTATTCAATCCATACGCGCAAACCCCTTTTCTGTGCAGTTAATACATGCTCATTAAAATGTTTACCATTTTTACCATGATTTAATTTCTTTTGTGTGCACATATGTATGTGGTACGTAGTTCCACAGCTCCTGTATGGAGGTCAGAGGACGGCTTTCAGGGGTCAGTTTTCTCCTGCCACAAGTGTCACGGCATCCAGCTCAGGTCATAGGCTTGGTGGCAAACGCCTTGACTCGCTGAGCTGTATCACCTGCCCTCGTAGAAAACATTTTTAATGGGACAATTATGCCCTTGCTGTTCACACATTTGTGCCATGTGTTGGAATTTTCTCTACTTGTCCCCGTTTGTGGTGCTGGAGACGGCACTCCGGGCTTTCACACGCTGGACGCCATCACTGAGGTCCCCTCCCACCGGGAACGCCCTCCCTTCTTTCCTTGACATAGTGGATACCGCATACCCACTGCGTGTGAGCACGATTGGTCCAGCCAGCCTGCCCCGGCCGGGCATGGACGGCTCCTGCTGCCCGATATGAGGAACAGGGCGAACACCAACACCGCCTAGCTCTTTGCGATCCTGCTTCAGTGCTGGGTACCACTTGGA